TTAACACTTGGCACAAAAAGACATAATTATATAATATCTATTTATTTACGCTTGATGCATTTATGTAAATATTATGCCGGTTTCCGGTTTCACAACAATTTACTCGTGACGATGATAAAGGCTGGAAAGCAACTTGCTAAGTAAAAGAAGTGTAACGTTTATTGAATAATATCAACAGTTATTTTACTCAAAATGGATTCATATCAAGGTTAATGGTTCAGTCTGGCATTTGTAAAAACAGGAACGATAGGTAATTACTTGGAAATACTGCATTAATTAACCGGCTGCAGTAATTAGGTAATTAAAATGATTAAACCATCTACGACAAGGACAATCACTTTGTGGCATACCTTCATAGCAAAACAACTTTTCGTATTATGTGTCAATCACTCTATTCAAGTCGCATAGAAGAGACGAAGGAAGAGTGCATCATTCTTCTTTTACGGTAGTAAAAACGCAATTTTATAATTAAAACTGTAACAACATGTTTTCTTTTCAAGTCTAAAACCTTGAGCCCTCTGTACAAAATTCTTTTAGAGAAGAGAAAAAAATATATATCAAATGTTCTTGATTCCCGATTAAATTCTTACATTTATTTTGGACTTATAGTTATTTATCTCAAGGTTTTTCCCTCTTCAATGTTAAACATTAAACTGAAATTAACTTTTGGCCCTCTAAATATTATACTAAATTAATGTCATCTGCAGCAGCATAGTGGTAGAATACTGGCGCGTAAAACCTAGGGGACTCAGGTTTGGTTCCCGACGAAGGTGTTACAGGATCATTAATTTCAGTTTAATATCTAACATTGAAGAGAAAAAAGCCTTGAAATAAATAACTATAGGTCCAAAATAAATGTAAGAATTTAGAAGAACCGAAGTGACTACAGGTAATGCGATAAAGAACAAAAGAAATAGACTTGAAAAGTAGGTCGAAATACCCTGAATTATTGAAGGACTTTCCATAGGAGGGTCGGCAAAGGGATTTATTGGTGGAATACTTGAGAGTAATGTTGAAAGAGTGACCGAGCGGGAAGTTCCCCCGGTTGTATAGAACCTTCCGTGGTTTCACAAATAGCAAAAGTAAAGAAATCCAGTTTCGTCCACACTTTCTGTGTTTTGGGTGAAGTTCCATTTACCGTTTACGACTTTAACAAAATTTTCGAAAAGATAATTTAATGCTTTCCACTCTATCTACATTAATTTTAGCGACTTATTACCATTTAGAAAATATTACTTTTCGATGCTTTGATTTCAACGACAATTTAAATACATCTATCTACTGACGCATGAAACCTGACATCAACACTTTGCCTCTATGTGCAAACTTAAGATAAATCATTAAATATATCTGGCAGAAATAACGAAATCTTTATTTTTTCTAACTACTTCTTCATCCTCCTCTAATTTTCTATTGTAGCTATTATGCCATTTCTCCCTATGAAAATATTGAAAATGACCTTTCTTATGATCATCACAAAATGTATACACCGAAACTGTTTGTATTTTCGCTTTCTCTTCATTATGAAACCAAAGAAGATACTCGTCATTTAATAGTAGGTACGTTTTATATTGTCAGCGACAACACACAGCAATCGATAACTTTTGCTTTATCCACATTTCAATCTGACATCCAACCACATCTGTTGAATAGAAATTTAGACAAACATATAACAATTTTTATTAACAAGTATTTTGTTATGAGGAGTGTTTTGATTCAAATATTAAAAGTTCCTCAGCTGAGTTTAGTACCCAGTTTAGGTGATTTCTAGTTACTTTATTCGTTTTATATAAACGATGCAGAATTGTATGAAATTAGAGAACCCAGTTTAGTTTGAAACAGTAGCTATTACCTTTGGAAGACGGTTTATATAAGAGCAAGTTTTCAAAATATATGAAGATTTACCTATTCCATCATCATCATAAAGTCGTCAGTCCTAAGACTGGTTGGACACGTACCTCCACTTTTCCTATTCTGAGCTAAACTTCGCATTTCCCTAAAACTAGAACAGCCTACATCCTTAACTATTTGTGAACAGTAATCTATATCTAGGTCTACCTCTACCCCTCCTAACTCCTGTTTCTGCCTCTAATATGTCTCTGACTAGACCTATTGAATAAAAGCATTTTGCCAGAGAGTGTTTTCGGCTTGCACGTGACAGATCGACGACAAAATAATGAAGAAAATGACGCTGAGAGAAGAAACGAAATAGACGAAATAAATGGTTGATGGAGAAAATGAAATTGGTGAAAGAAACAAAGTAAGAAATGAGGTGGACGAAGAAGAAGACGTTAATCAAAGACATGATGTAGACGATGGATAAGATGTAGTAAAACGAAATGAAGTTGACGAAGGAAACAAAATTGGAATTGGAAAATAAATAGATTGAAATGAAGTTGACGGACGAACGAGAGAACCGGAGCTGACAAAGTGAGTTGATGAAGTCTGAAATGACAATTTAGTATGGAACATTAAAAATACAGGAAATAGCACTTAAACGTAATAAATCCAGAGCAGGCTTATGACAACGAGAAAAAGGTACGAAAGAAGAGACACTCTTCCATTTTGACAGATACGCTCATGAACGAGGCATTAAAACAACAAGGGAAAACTAATGAAAAACAAAACCACATAAGAAAAAAACGACTAGAAG